AGTGATGTGTGTGTATGTGTGTATAGGTGGTGTAAGGATGTGTTGAGTGTGGGTGTGAAAGTGTGTGTGCATATGAATATATGGTGGCTGAGTATATCTATGTATATGTGTGAGTGTGTTTGTGGGTGCATGGGTATGAGTTTCTGGGAGTGATAAGTGTGTGAATGTGTCTGTGGGTACAGTCAGTGGGGATGTGTATGAGAGAGGGTGTGAGTGTGGTATCTGAGTGTGTTAGTGGATGCAGCAGTGCATGTTGTGTAAGAAAGAGGGCAGGAAGGGAAGGAAAGAGAAGGGGGATGGACAGGATTGGGCCAGCTGAGGGGTTGTACAGGTGTTACAAGCCTGAGTGAAAGTCTGGAAAAAGACAGAAGGCCCAGAGGGCTGAGAAGTGTGGCGGGATCACCCTGAGGGTCTCCCAGGGAGGTGGCCTCTCACCCTGCTCTACTCCTCTGGCCCTGAGGCTTCTTCAGCTGAGCAGTGGCTTCTAGGGCAACTGCCCCCCCAGGGCTCCTACCATGTATTAGTAGTTTCTGAATTGCTACCGTATATTTTTATCATTAATTCTAAGAATTGGGGACACCTGGGTGACTCAGAGGTTTAGCACCTGCCTTCGGCCCAGGGCATGATCCCGGGTCCCAGGATTGAGTCCCACATCAGGCTCCCTGCATGGAGCCTGCTTCTCCCTCTGCCTGTGTCTCTGCCTCTCTCTCTCTCTCTGTCTCTGTCTCTCATGAATAAATAAAATCTTAAAATAATAATTCTAAGAATTGCACAGTATTCCATTGATTGGATGGTCCATAATGTATTCATCATTCCCTTATTAATAAACATCTTATTGGTATGCAAAATTTTCCAGTTATTAACAGCCCTATTCAGGTCCTTGAAGTTCTTTTTTACTCATCTCACAATTTCTACAGAATTGCCATAGGAGAAATTCCTTGAAGAGGAAGTGTTAGGTCAAAAAACATGCAAAGACCTGCGACATTAGACCTCTGCTGCCAAATGGCTCTCCAAAAACACTGAAACAATATACAGCTTCCCCAGCAACATGTGGCTATCTACTTTCCTATAACCTCACTAACTCTGGGTATCATTTATTTTTCATCCTCAACTAATTGGATACTTTAAATATATGGCCTCTCCTTGATGTTGTAATCACCGTTTATTATTATTGGCAATTGCTACGTTTTATTGTTTGAGTATTGCCTATCTTATTGTGAATTGCCTTTCCTTGTTCTTGGCTGATTTTTTGGCAAAGTGTTATTGCCAAATCGTTAAGAATGCTAGTAAAAACAATAATCCTTTGTTGGCCAGATATATTGGAAATATTTCCTCCTAGTCTCTTATTTGACTTTCAATTTTGCTTAGGGGTTTTATTTGTAAAGAGAAAAAATTATAATTCATGTAGCCAAAACTATTAATCTTTTCTTTTGTTTTTTTGCCTTGGGGGTGAATATTTATTTATTTATTTATTTATTAAGATTGTATCTATTCATTCATGAGAGACACAGAGAGAGAGAGAGAGGCAGAGACACAGGCAGAGGGAGAAGCAGGCTCCATACAAGGAGCCCTACGTGAGACTCAATCCCGGGTCCCCAGGATCATGCCCCGGGGCCGAAGGCAGCGCTAACCGCTAAACCACTGAGCCACCCGGGCTGCCTGGGAGTGAATCTTTAAAATAACTTTTCGGGCAGCCGGGGTGGCTCGGCAGTTTAGCGCTGCCTTCAGCCCAGGGCCTGATCCTGGAGACCCAGGATCGAGTCCCGTGTTGGGCTCCCTGCATGGAGCCTGCTTCTCCCTCTGCCTGTGTCTCTGCCTCTCTCTCCATGTCTCTCATGAATAAATAAATAAAATCTTTAAAAAATAAAAAAATAAAATAAAATAACTTTTCAACCCAAACATGATGTAAATATTGACCTGCATTATCTTCTAGGACATTTATATGGTTTTAATAAACATTTAGGTAATAGAGTCCTCTAGAATTTATTTTGCTTAAACTCTTAAAGTGCAGCTCTAACTTGACCTTTCAAGGTGATTATTGGCACTCCCCCCTGCATGCTCCCTCTGCCACCTCCCACTTGCCCAGTATCCATTTCCTGAGCACCTACTGTGTGCCATCCTCATTCTTGCCTCTGCACCAGAGTTACCTGGGAACCTGTCTGGGGGCTCCAGGAGGACAGAATCTCCATTTCTGGACCTCATTCTATCTTAGTTTCTTCTCTAAAGGCTTTCTCTTCAAATACAGTCCCATGCCAAGGTACTTGGAGTTAGGACTTCAACATATGAATTTGTGAGGGAGGAACACAATTCAGCCCACAGCACATACATGAAATCTATTCTCAAAGGAGAGAATAATGAGAAAAGTGGAAGCAACATTCAAAGAGATAGTGGCTAAAATTTTACGAATGTTATGGAAGACCTCAAGCTGCCGTTATAAGGAATGCTAACATCCTCCCAGCAAAACAAATCCAAATAAAAACTCACCCGGGGAACATCATAGAAAACTAAAGACGAAGAGGAACTCTTATAAGCAGATAATAGGATGCATAGAGAGGAGCTGAGGGTGTGGGGCATTTGGTGAGATCTTTACTATGTGGGCTGTTTGGGCCACACAGAGGAGGGGTATGGAAAGAAGAGGGAGGCAAAGGAGTAGAAAGTATTACTGAAATGACCTCCTGGTGGAGGAGAGGCAGGAAGGGAGGGGTGTTTAAAAGAAATAGGGAAATGAATGAATGAATGAATGAAAGAAACAGAGAAGGGGCGCCTGGGCGGCTCAGTCAGTCAGCCTCGGTGTCCATCAAAAGATGAATGGATAAAGAAGATGTGGTCTATGTATACAATGGAATATTCCTCAGCCATTAGAAACGACAAATACCCACCATTTGCTTCAACGTGGATGGACCTGGAGGGTATTATGCTGAGTGAAGTAAGTCAATCGGAGAAGGACAAACAGTGTATGTTCTCATTCATTTGGGGAATATGAATAATAGTGAAAGGGAATATAAGGGAAGGGAGAAGAAATGTGTGGGAAATATCAGAAAGGGAGACAGAACATGAAGACTCCTAACTCTGGGAAACGAACTAGGGGTGGTGGAAGGGGAGGAGGGCGGGGGGTGGAGGTGAATGGGTGATGGGCACTGAGGGGGGCACTTGATGGGATGAGCACTGGGTGTTATTCTGTATGTTGGCAAATTGAACACCAATAAAAAATAAATTTATTATAAAAAATTTAAAAAATAAAAGAAAAAATAAAAGAAATAGGAAATAAATAAATAAATAAATAAATAAATAAATAAATAAATAAATAAATAAATAAATAAATAAATAAATCAGGGAAGGGGCGCCTGGGCAGCTCAGTCAGTTAAGTGTCTGATTCTTGATTTTGGCTCAGGTCAGGATCCTAGGGTCCTGGGATGGAGGCTGTGTTGGGTTCCCTGCTCAGCAGGGAGTCTGCTTCTCCTTCTGCCTCTGCTGCCCTACCCCTGCTCGTGCTCCCTCTCCCTTTCTCAAATAAGTAAATAAAACCTTAAAAAAGAAAAAGCAAGCAAGCAAGCGGTGAATTGAGCTGAGCAGGCCCTTTGAGGAAGAAGGTTCGGGCCTGGCAGAGAGAGATGCCATTTCCTAGGCTAGGTACTGTTAGGTACAGAAACCCTAGCCCCAGGGGTCTTTTCCAGCTCACCCTTCCCTAAACAGCTGTTGCTGGTAGGTTCTCCTTGGTGCTCAGAACTAGGCCTTGCTTCCTTCCCATCTGCATCCTCTCCCTCAAGGTGGCCGCCCTTGACCCTGGCTTTAGTAACGGGCTCAGTGAAGGTGATCCAGAATCCTCTCATCTGGAGCACTGTGCCTCGCAGCCATTCTCTCCCAGACACCTCTTCCAGGCCACCACCCCACAGCTACACACTAGCCCTGGACTCCCTGCATACCCCAGCACATCCCCCATCAAGCAGTTACTTAATGCCAGTCAATTGAATAACAATCCCCTGGTCCTCATCTCGTGTTCTGTCCAGTTGTGCAGTTCTGGGTCTTGGGAGTCATGTTGGACTCATGCTCTCCCTCACGCCCATGACCCCACCATATGCAATCCATCAACCAAGCCCCATTGATCTTACCTCCTCATTGCATGTGGGATGTGTCCTCTCCTCCCCATCAGCCCCTCAGTCCACAGGATCATCACTCCCCCTCAGGGGGGGCTGCAGCAGCCCCTCCTTGCCCTCCCTGATTCCATGTCTCTTCAAGTCACCCTCCTCAGAGGCCAAACTCCTATCCCTGGGATTCTGACCCGGTCACCTGGCCCCAGAACCCTCCAACAACCAGAACAACAGCAGTAACATCCACCAGCACTCACGGGGCACTTCCAAAGGCCCCCACTGTTGCTGGAGTGTTCCTTGTGCACACTCATTGCTCACAGGAACCCCATGAGGGGAACTCTAGTTGGCTTAACATCCCAATTGCCCTAGTGAAGAAACAGAGACACAAAGAGCTTTAGCAACTCAGAGGTCACCCAGCTGGCATAAGACAGGGACAGAATTCAAACTCACATGGCCTGGGGCACCAAGGAGACAAGCAAACTTCCCAGTGAGGCTCAGAAGGCACAGTGAGGTTGGGCGTGACCCCCCTCCAGAGGCTTTCTTCCATCAGCGTCCCCCTCCCATCTGCCCCACCAGGCCCAGACCCCACCAGCTCACTCACCGGGTTTCCTCCCCACTCTGGGCCTTTACACCTGCTGAGCTCCCTGCCTAAAACCCTGATGGTGAAATTTCTGTTCCTGTTCTTTGCCCATTTCATAATTGGATTATTTGTTTCTTTGCTGTTGAGTTTAATAAGTTCTTTATAGATCTTGGAAACTAGCCCTTTATCTGATAGGTCATTTGCAAATATCTTCTCCCATTCTGTAGGTTGTCTTTTAGTTTTGTTGACTGTATCCTTTGCTGTGCAGAAGCTTTTTATCCTGATTAAGTCCCAATAGTTCATTTTTGCTTTTGTTTCCCTTGCCTTCATAGATGTATCTTGCAAGAAGACATACACATGGCCAACAAGCACAAGAGAAAATCTTCCGCAGGGCAGCCCCAGTGGCGTAGCGGTTTTGCGCCACCTGCAGCCCAGGACGTGATCCTGGAGTCCCGGGATCGAGTCCCACTTCAAGCTCCCTGCATGGAGCCTGCTTCTCCCTCTGCCTGTGTCTCTGCCTCTCTCTCTCTCTCTCTCTGCATCTCTATGAATTAAAAAAAAATCTTAAAAAAAAAAAAAAAGAAAATGCTCCGCATCACTTGCCATCAGGGAAATACAAATCAAACCACAATGAGATACCACCTCTCACCAGTGAGAATGGGGAAAATTAACGAGGCAGGAAACAACAAATGTTGGAGAGGATGTGGAGAAAGGGGAACCCTTTTGCACTGTTGGTGGGAATGTGAACTGGTGCAGCCACTCTGGAAAACTGTGTGGAAGTTCCTCAAAGAGTTAAAACTAGACCTGCCCTACGACCCAGCAATTGCACTGCTGGGGATTTACCCCAAAGATACAGATGCAGTGAAATGCCGGGACACCTGCACCCCGATGTTTCTAGCAGCCATGTCCACAAAAGCCAAACTGTGGAAGGAGCCTCGGTGTCCATCGAAAGACGAATGGATAAAGAAGATGTGGTTTATGTATACAATGGAATATTACTCAGCCATTAGAAACGACAAATACCCACCATTTGCTTCAACGTGGATAGAACTGGAGGGTATGATGCTGAGTGAAGTAAGTCCGTCGGAGGACAAACGTTTTTTTAAAGATTTATTTATTTAGGGGATCCCTGGGTGGCGCAGCGGTTTGGCGCCTGCCTTTGGCCCAGGGCGCGATCCTGGAGACCTGGGATCGAATCCCACGTCGGGCTCCCGGTGCATGGAGCCTGCTTCTCCCTCTGCCTGTGTCTCTGCTTCTCTCTCTTTCTCTCTCTGTGACTATCATAAATAAATTAATTAATTACAAAAATTTTAAAAAAAGATTTATTTATTTATTCATTCAGAGAGAGGCAGAGACACAGGCAGAGGGAGAAGCAGGCTCCATGCAGGGAGCCCGATGCGGGACTCGATCCTGGATCTCCAGGATCATACCCCGGGCTGCAGGCGGCGCTAAACCGCTGCGCCACCGGGGCTGCCCGGAGAACAAACATTATATGGTTTCACTCATACGGGGAATATAAGAAATAGCGAAAGAGATTATAGGGGAAAGGAGAGAAAATGAGTGGGAAATATCAGTGAGGATAACAGAACCTGAGAAACTCCTGACTCTGGGAAACGAACAAGGGATAGTGGAAGGAGAGGTGGGGGGGGGGGAGGGGAGGGGGGCGACTGAGTGACGGGCACTGAGGGGGGCTCGTGGAGGGATGAGAACTGGGTGTTATGCTATATGTTGGCAAATCGAACTCCAATAAAAAATATACAAAAAATAAAAATAAATAAATAAAAATAAATAAAACCCTGAGGGACACCCACCTCCACCCCCACTCTCAGTTAACTCCTATTCCAGCCTCTCATCTCCAGGCGTTCCTCACTCACCACTAGAGGGCGCCGTAACCCGAAAAATCGCCCTGCAGACCCGCGCAGGGGATGGGGCGCGACCCTGGGGTCTCCTCCTTGGGGTGAGCGCGGTGGTCTCCCCGAGAAGCACTGCGATTTGCTAGAGACTGAGACCCAGTTTGATTCCCTCCCCTGCCATCTTCCAGCTGTGTGCCCAGAGGATGCTCAGCCACCTCCAGTATCTGTCAAATAAATGGGGTGATGTTGAACCACCAGCACCTGCCCCACAGAACTAGTGCTTTAAGTTCCACAGAAATCAGAGAGATGGCAAAAATCCTCCCTGCCCCTGGGAACTGGAGCCCAAGAGCCTCAGGAAAGAAACAGATGCCTCTGTTCAGAAACACTGTGGAAGGAACCAGTCTGAAAAGGACTTTTGAGTGGGAAGAAAAGCGAATACTAGTCCCTTCCTCTCATGTGCCGTTCAAACCTCAGCACGACTCTGAGACAGGTATTCTTGTTTTCCATGTGGGTCGACGAAGAAACTGAAGCACAGCTGTACGTGGTAGAAAATGGTGATCCCCACCCCCACCCCGCCCACCCCACCCATCCCCTGCCTGCTGGCTGGCCTCCCGGGCATCTCACATCCTCTGCACCTGTGGTTGTCAAGGTGTGGCCTTGAAGTAGCTGCTGCATCACCATCACCGGAGACTTCCAAATCAGAGCTTCAGGGCGCGCCAGCCATCCGTGTCTACAGCCCTCCAGGCCATCCTACAGCACAACCTAGCCCTCCTCGGGCCTGCGAAACACACCTACTCCTGGGGAAGGCTGAAGTAGTCCCTGCAGGACCCTGAGGGAGAAGGGGAGTGAGAAGTCAGGCTGTTCCTGGGAGGTGGTCCCCAGCTAATAAGAGCCTTGGGTGGCTTGGTCCCCTAGCTAAAAAAGCACCCCCAGATGAAGTCTTCACAGTTTCTGTGACAACTGGGAGTCCATCAGACAGCCTTGGTGGCTGCAGAGCATTGGGAAGCAGAGATGCTCAAACTCATGGGGAGAGATCACTGACAATGCAGATTCCCAGGTCCCTCCCTGCGTCTCCCAGGTTGGGCCCAGGAAGCTGCCATCTGAACAGGCCTCGTAACATTTGGGACCCTTGGACATGGAAGGCATTAGACCAGCTACACCTAAGTATGAATTCTGACTGTCCCCCATTGGTTCTATGGATTTGATACCAATCCCTGATGGCTGTCCCCTCTGACCATCAGATTCCTCGTCTGTAAAAGGTGGTCATTATGAAAAAAATAATGGTTTCCAGGATCAGCAGTGGCTCAATACACTTAAAGCAGGAAGGCTAACTGGGGAGGTGAGGGTAGCAGGAGATAGAGGACGTAGAATACCAAACTCAGAGCACAGGTTTTTGTCCTTGGGGCAAAAGGGAGCCGCAGAAGAGGGGTTAGCCCAGGAGAGACAGGCTCAGATTTGCATCCCCCCCCCCTCCCCGCAGCACTGCAGCGGCCGGGCCTCTGTGTGCCAGACGCTCTGGGTCCAATCCCTGCCCTGCCCCTTCCCCACTGCTGTGGGATTTGGGGCAAGCAATAGAACTTGCCAGTAGCTCAGTTCCCTTATCTGGTGAAGGAAGAGAAGGGGATTGTTTATGAGAACTAAAGGAGAGAACTCACAGGAGGCGCTCAGCCCTTGGTGGCCATTATCATTAAACTGTGAGATCAGTCATAGTCAATGCAAGTGCAATGGCTAGAGGACACCCACAGGGAGGAAGTCACCGAGGGCCCTTTGTGAATGCCTTGGGAACAGTGTGTCCCTGGGGACACATTATACTACCAGCCCCTGGCCCTCCCCAGGGGCCCCAGGCCAGGTAGGAAGTGGCTGGGCATGAAGGCTGGATGGGGCCCCACCCCCCTCCTGCTGCTGCTCCACCCCAACCCACCCACATGACCCAGCTTCCTGTTTGTGATGCCCAGGCTGGAGGGAGGAAATCAGTGCCCCCGCCCTGGGACTGGAGGGCAGGAATGTGGATATGTTGACGTCAAAGCATGTCCTACTTCTGGGGAAGTCGGGATGGGAAGGGCTTCCTGCAGGTCGGCTTTTGATCCCAAGCTAGAGCTGGGGGTTTAAGCTAGCCCTGAGGGAGGCCAGCCACACAGAGCTTTCCCTGATGGATGCCTTTGGGAGGTGATTCAGGGTGCTGCTGTCAGGGTCCTACCCTAACAGAGCTGTGTGACCCTGGGCAAATCACCTTCCCCCTTCCAAGGCTCCCTTCCCTCATCTGTAGGGTGTGGATAAATATGTGCATTTCAGAGCATCATTCATTCATCAGATATACATTTTGAGATGAGCCTGCCCTGGCCCTGTGGGCTCTTTCAGTTAACCTAACTGGTGCGGTGGGGAGGGAGAGAAGACCCTGAAGCAGAGAGAGGCATGAAGCATTTCTGGAGGCAACTGCAAGGAGGTTCCCAGCATTAGCATTCAGGGTAGCTGGAAGATGTCCTGAGGAGGGCTCAGAGCAAGGCCTTGGGACACTGCTCAGCTCTGCTTTGGGACCAGAGAAACCTGGGTTAGAATCCAGATTTGGCCATTCACTAGCTCTGTGACTTTGATCATTCTTTCTGTTTACTCATCCGGCTGTGTAATGCGAGGATAACCCCAGCCGCATTTCAAGGTTGTTGGAGATTAAGACATCATGTCTTTAAAGCACCTGGTACAATGCCTGACGTAGAGTACTCGTGGCTGTTGCTCTTGCAGTTGTTGGCATTTATTTATAAATGACCAGATGTCCGGAGGGGTTCTTTGGGCGTCTTTCCCCCAGATGCCCAGTAGGTGGCGATAGAGCCCCTTTGTTCAACAAAATCTACATTCACTGATGAGAAGCCAGATTTAGAAGTTTATGGGCTTTTTTTAAAATTTAATTTTATAGTATTTAAATTCAATTAATTAACATACAGTGTATTATTAGTTTCAGAGGTAGAGTTCAGTGACTCATCAGTTGTATATAACACCCAGTGCTCAACACCTCAGAGGATGCTTCCTGAGCACCCCAACAAAGCACTCAGGCCCAGGGGCAGTGGGAATGGGGGAAGCGGGGACCAGTGACCTCTGCCCAATAGACATCTGGGGAAGAAGAGTCCTGACCACTTTAAAAGAAAGCTTGATTTCAATTCATTGGGATACATATACCCAGAAGTGGGATTGCTAGATTATGTGATAGTGTGATTTTTAATGTCTTGAGAAACCTCCATACTTTTTCCACAGTGGATGCACCAGTTTGCATTCCCACGAACAGTGTGCAAGGGTTCCAGTTTCTCGACATCTTCACCAACACTGTCTTTTTAATTGTTTTTTAGTAATAGCCATCCTAACAGGTGTGAAGTTTTGATTTGCATTTTCCTGATGATTAGTCACATTGAGCATCTTCTCATATATACCTGTTGGCCATTTGAGTGTCTTCTTTGGAGCGATGTCTATTCGAGTCATTAGTCCATTTTTTAGAGGGCTATTTATTTTTTTGCTATTGAGTTGTAGAAGTTCCTTATATATTTTGGACATATATCCCTTATCTGACTTATGGTTCATAGATATTTTCTGCCATTCCGCGGGGTGCCTTTTCACTGTTCACTGTTCCCTTTGCTGTGCAGAATTCCGGTTTGATGTTCAGTGCAGCATTAGTCACAATAACCAAGATGTGGAGACAACTGAATGTTCACGGATAGACGAATGGATCAAGAAAATGTAGTATAGGGCAGCCCAGGTGGCTCAGCGGTTTAGCGCCGCCTTCAGCCCAGGGCCTGATTCTGGAGACCTGGGATCAAGTCCCACGTCAGGCTTCCTGCATGGAACCTGTTTCTCCCTCTGCCTAGGTCTCTGCCTCTCTCTCTCTCTCTCTCTCTCTCTCTCTCTCTCTCTCTCTCCCTCTCATGAATAAATAAATAAAATCTTAAAAAAAAAACAAAGAAAATGTGGTATAGACATACAGCAGAATATTATTTAGCCTTTAGAAAAGGAAATCCTGCCATATGGAACAACCCGGATGAACCTCAAGGACATTGTGCTGAGGGAAAATAAGTCAGTCACAGGACAGAGGGATACTGCATGATTCTAGTTACATGAGATGTGGGACTCATAGGAGCAGACAGTAGAATGGTGGGTGCCAGGGGCAGGGGCTGGGAGAAGAGGAGTTATTCACCAACAGGTATAAAGTTTCAGTCACACAAGACGAGTCCATTCTAGAGATCTGCTCTTCAACACTGCCTATAGTTAACGACGCTATATTGTGTGCCTAAGAATCTGTCAAAGAGGATGGATCTCATCTCAAATATTCTTACCACAATAAAATAAAAAT